ACAATATTTGTTTATTTGTAAATTATTATTGATTCAGTTGGAAGTGCATGTATATCAAATAATCATGGAATCATGTAAGCGATTGATTATTCATCATATAAATTCTTAAATATAATATATAACATAAAAATATTAAAACATACATACATACATAGTTTATTTCTTTTTCTTCTTTTTTTATATTTTCTATAATTTTTTAATCAGAAATATTGAACTATGAAGCTCTGATCTTCCTGCAAATAAGTTCAAATATATTTATTTGGAAATTTTTTAAATATGAAGAATCGATTAACTAAAATATTATTGCATAATAATAAGGATTCATCACTACAGTTTTTACTGTTTTTAGATTACAAGATAAATTGAAAAATATGTTCATAAATAATAGGAAACATGTGCGCATTTACTTGTACTTACGTGTAATAAGTATCTGTAGAAACTAAGAGACAAAATCACATTGTAAGATTTCTGTGTTATATTTCTTATTATTTTTTTTATTAATTTTTCGATCAATTTACATCACAGCTTTTGTTTTCGATAAATGATTTCCAGATCTCATTTCGAACAACTTCACCGTCACTAAGTTGTTCAAAATGATTTCAAAAGATGAATATTAAGTTTGAACACTATGAAGATCTTAGGGTAAATTCTTATTCAACTTAGGGTAAATTCTTATGTACACAATCATTTTGATCGAAATTCCTTCGATTATCAAAAAAAGCTAAAAATTTGTACGAATATTATATAAATTATTATTTACTTTGTATCTATACTACATTTGTATCTTATCTTCAATTAATTCTCCAAATGTGTATAATTCTTTTAACCAATCAAAAATATGCAGACTGTTTGGTATATTTACGGCAATGTAATCATTGATAGATACCTATCTAGTTGTTACCATTTAATCTCAGTAGTTACAAGTGTCAGTCTTTAAAGTCAGAATTGTGTGCCGTTTGGTGAAGACATGGAGGTAATTGAATCATGCTCTAATACAATCTTGATAAAGTTGTAGCTCCCTTTTTAACTGTCATCAATCAATGTAAGAACAGCCATAACAAAAGATGTCAATTTAAGGGAATGAAATTATTGTGACAACAACACCTAGCAATGTTACCGATATTTCATTACCACAATTGTCTTGATATACCAGTTTACAAATTTTTACAAATTTATCCTAGATTCAGGAAAAGTTAACCGATTGAGCCTAACGATGCGTATTGAACAAATGATTTTTAAGAATCGTGATAGATAGGTCATTTCCAAAATTGGTATAATGGTAATTGGTATAATGGTTGTCAAAGTGTTAGGATAATCTATTTTATATACTGAGATCTTTTGTCAACAAAATCTTTTTATTCACACAGGCGAAAGGAAAATAAAGATGACGGAAAGTTTAATAAATGAATGGTTAGCAGATTGTGCAGATGTATCATCATCGGAACTCCATACTTTTGCAACTACTTTATCGCAAGACAATGAAATAGTCAGAGCTCTTTATGTACTCTTGGAAGAACGTAGTAAATATAGTCAGGTAATATATTCTTGGCTTAACTTTCTACATCTTGATGGAATTTAATTTAATTCTTATACAGTTTAGGCAAATTTTGTTCATTTACTGTTTTGACATTGAAACACAGCATGAATAACATATATTCTGTTTAAAATCCTTTATTTAAAAGTACAGTAGATTATATTTTATTTTATTACTCATATTACTAACTTTTCATTCGTTGCAGTTGATGGATATAGTATGTGATCAATTATACAATTTTTATCGTTCTCGAGAAACAGAATTACAAAGATTTACCTTGCAATTTTTGCCAACATTAGTATATATTTACTTAAATTCTGCAGCTCATGGTGATATTAAGGTAAGATACTGCAGTATGAATTCATGTCATGATGTCATGATGTCATGAAGCATAATTTATATGAATATTGATGTTATATAACAAGAACAACTATAATTTAAATTAAAATTATATGGTAGAATAGTACTATTATTTCCTTCATTATAAAACAATTATATTCAAATGAAATGCAATCTAGGTTCAGAAGTATTATCAGAACATCAATTTAGAATGGATAATTAAAGATATTTAGTTGATTTCAAGATATAGTTGATTTTTATATAGTCAACGTGATATTTTAAACATCTTGTTAAGACAGTTTCAAAAAGCATATAAAAAATTATAATTCCATTTTAATGAAAGAAATAAATTTTGCATATACACTATCTTAAACCTTCAATTTGACATAATTAATTTTCTTTCCACAGAATTGTCGGTCTGTAGAAACATTATTAATTGGTTTGTATAATCTAGAGATAGTGGATAAATCTGGACAACAAAAAGCAATTTCTTTTAGACTACCTTCACTTGCTATGCTTTCCATATTTCATGAGGTATATTGACTTTAGTAGATATATAATTAAATTCTATAAGTATGTAATGTTATTCTAATTACTCTTTCTTGTACAGCCTGCAAGTTTAGCACCTGCATCTTTAACCGAGAGTGCAGTGCGTAGATTTGAAGAATGTAATACAAAACTCGTTAGTTGGGGTCCACTGCAACAAGTTGAAACACTAAATGCTCAGAATAGATTAAAAGTTATGACTGCTCTTCTTTTTATCTACAATCAACAACTCGGTTATATAAATAAATTCGCGTTAGAGCAATTATGCAAAGTTGCTACCAAGTAAGATAGAACTAATTATTTTTCTATATTTAATAAATGTACAATGATTACCTGAATAATTTATTGCAGACTCGTCACTCAAGGATTTATGAAGCCTGGACATCATCAACGATCTTCGTACGGAAGCGAGTCTAGTTTTGTTCCAAGACTTTTACCACGTATTCCCGTATCGAGTCAATTTCTGCTTGAATTTTTGCACGCTGTATATTTTGCTATGTGAGTAATATATTCTTCAAGTAATAGTCTGTTAGAATAATATGTATAATATAAAAAAATATTTATCGAAACTAAAAGTGATATGTTTATAATAAAAGTAATATGTATTGGCAGGTATAATGATTGTTGGTATTTAGGAACACAAGCAGTAGAAGATATTCATAATCGAGCATGTTATGAGACATATCCAGATGTTATGCTTGTCACCAATGCTATACGTAATTCCGCCAGTACTGGACCATCAGGTATATTGGTATAAAATAATTTAAAAAAGTACATATTTATATAAATATTCAATAACAATTAATTATACCAGGTCAACCTAGTGATGGACCAATTGGCATTAGTGTTGCATTATCGCCAGCAACTGCAACTGCTACGGTGTCCAAATCGATGATCACAAATGCTTCGTTCCGGACCAAAAAATTACCAGGTATATTTTTCATTTTAATTGAACTTTGCGTCATAATCTAACAAATTATGTCCAGACATTTTACTTATGTTTGTTTTTTTAAATATTTTATGCACAATACGGAAACTATTTTTTATTAGATTAATTACAAATATCCAGCATGTCAGTTGTTGTATAGCAATTACTAATTAGTATGCACTAAGACAAAACAAAAGTTTCTTAATTTGGAAAATTTTCTTAAAGTTGGAAACCAAATTTAAATGTGTTAGTATATATGAAATACTAATATTAACAGCATAAAGAATGCATGAATATAGTGATACAAGTATATAAATCATATTATAAATAAATGGTAGTAATTGTAGTTATTTTTCTAAATATTTTTTAGTTTACATTCTTGTATTATAATAGATCAACATTTGTATCTAGTACTATGAACGAGATTTCTAAAATTCACAGATAAAAAGATTGTATAGAAAAATCTGTTTTTTCTTATGAAAAGATAACTTTGCATGAAATATATGTACAAATACATATATATATGAAATATATATTTAAACATTTAAGCAGTAACAAATACACTTTATAAGTTATTGAACTAAGCAAATGTGCATTGCTTGCAAACATGTGTCGTTAGACGATCTGGATGAGAAGTTATTTGAGGATGAAGCGAACGCTATCCAACTTGAAAACCAACTACAAAAGACAGTATCTAACACTACGAAGCGGTTCCCTTGGCATTGGAAGCACTCACTTCCGATTTCAAGCGAAGAAGATACCAAAATAAGAAAACTCAGTTCTTCCTCAATGGAATTCTCTAAACGAGGAAGTGTGTGTAGCAATCAAAATTCCCCTATCAAATCCTCTCCTAAACGAAACAGAGAGCATTTGAAGAAAGATATATCCGAGAAAGGTGAAGATCACAATATGAAACAAGGAAAAAAAAAACACAAAATAAATACTGATTTAGCTCATGATGAAAACAATATCGGATCTAGTACATATTTGTATAATGTATTGGAGGAACAATTTCTAGGAGAAATAATTCATGAATCAATGGAAAATTTATATCTGGAAGGAAACAAATCAATTGGTTTTCACGCGACTGCTGCCCTGTCAACAAATATATGGTACTAGTGATTCAGTTTCAGCACTTTATAGGATCACTAAATATTATTCAATAAAATTTTTTCAACAAAACACGCGGCAAATTAGCTGTTACACTGTGTAACATTAACTATTTTAATTAGTAGCAGTTTGTGCATTTATCTATGAATTCGTTTCAGAGGAACCACCATTTTTACGAACAAAAGAAATCAAGTCTGAAGTATTACTTACTTTATTGAGAGGCACATAATGGAAAAGCTGCATGCAGTTTTGGCATATTTAGTTTCATTGAAGATAGTGCATTTGTTGTGACACAGGTTTACCCTACTCCTTTCCTATTTCCCGTTTTGTTTAAATATGATTTTTGTATATTGTTGTTTGTAATTCTTAATTCACAACATGCATGAAGTATCTCATTTATGTTGTGACATACATATAGTTTACAGATATAAACAATAACATAAATATAAAGCTTAATATTTTTACTTTTTGCTTTACACAGAATGCTTAGTTTCTTTCATTTAATTCTCATGGTATTGTATATTTTTTCAGTATGACCTTATTATTATTTTAATAACGTATTTATATTTCTTTTTTTTTTGTTTAGATGATATACCGATTCAAGAAACGAAGGAAGATTCTGGAGGAGAAGGTAAAAGTAATCTTGTATCAATCACAGAAGAAGAATCGATAGAACCAAGTAGAATTGGTTCAATGAGACAATCGAAGGATCAAAAGACTGTGTCTAAAATCACGAATTTCCCAGTACTTGGGAAAAAACCGCGAGAAAAGGATAGTAAGGTAGCTAAAAATACTCATATTAGCATACCTGAGAAGGAGAAGAAACTTGGATCTCAAGCGACTTCAAAGGAGAGTATTAAAGGTAGTTCCTCAATGTTAAATAGTGAATCGACAGAAATCGATGGAAATATTAATGGGTGTTCTATTAGGAAAAAAAATAATAGTGTAGAAAATAATTCAGCTACAGTAGACAGTAATATTTCTTTGATCGATGGCGAACGTCTTGCGTTAGGCGGAGAAATAGATAACTCTAATATGGAAACTCCTATTACTTTAAGAACGCATAATGAAACTGAATCATTAACTTCGTCTATCCAAGTTAGCTCTGTTTAAGTTATTATAAATAGATTTTTAAAATGGAAATAAGAAAAATAGTAGTGGACTATATTGAATGAAATAAATTGTTTTTATAGTTTCTTATATATATTGTAAATACATTTTCTTTCCTTATGTTTAAGAATATACACACAGTTTTATGTATAATTTAATTCAATTATGAGTCTCAGACAAAGACCTCATTTAAAATGGTATTGTATTTTGAAGAAAACAGTTTTACAAATAGTTGATTCAAAAGTGGTCCATTACTATATTGATCTCCATACTCAGTTAAAAAAACTAGTAAAATAATAATGGGGAAGGGAACAATAACTTAATATTATATATTTTTTCTTTAATGAAGGTATATCTTCGCATATTAAAAGATTCTCTTTATCATCCTTATAACATGTCTGTTAAATCATTCAATAGATATCTATCTTTTTAAAATGTTTTAACATGTGATTATTTAAAGATTTTAATTATCAAAAAGTATACCGACCCTATATTGATAATTAATAATTCATAATTAATTCAATATTTTAAATGATCCTGAAATATGAAACTAAATGGACTTATCTGTATTCTTTTCGGAAGCAATATTTATTAAATTAAATAATATTATTTTAATATTTGTATTATTTAATTTTATTATATTTATACACGTGTTCTTGGAAAAATATAAGCTATTAATGGCTAATTATTTCACGCAAGCTAATTTGTTCTGGATTCTACAATAAAAAATGGCAATAGCTTTATTAAAAAAATAATTTGCATCATCGAATATCAAGTATTTTGTGAAAAGAATATAATATGACTGACTTGGAGACAGTAAAAATTAAATTTAGAAAAATCTTATAATTTTTCTAATAATCATATTTTCCATGTAGTACAAAAATTGTATTTGTTTTTCGTAAATTTCTAATGAACAAAATATTTTTATTCTCATCGTACTCATCTGCCCCAAGGATGATTTTGAAATAATTTATTTGAGTATTTTTCTATAATTCTAATATTAAGAGTATTCTTATTTTATAGTAAAAATACGCAGAGAACAACATGCAGATAAATCTGCAATTCTGATAGTATTTCTTTTTATAAATGCATTATAAGTGCATTGTGATAGAAAATATTTAAAAAAATTTTTTGTTTAAAATTATTTATTATCTATTGTTTCAATTAAAATAATAAAAATTTTTTTGTAATTATTAATAAATACTAGGAATCATAAAAAGGATCATAAATGTGAGTAAAATATGTTTAAAAGATCAAAACTTGGAATTGGTGTTTACTTGAAAAGACTGTATATTGCATCACATTATTACTTAGTCTAATAAAAAAAAAAATATACCACTATGATTTGTTAACCAATGAGAGTGTTCATTGCGGTATTGTATGGATATTAATATCAAACCAAAAAAAAAGAAAACAAGATTTATAATATACCTTATATAAATGTTTTTAAAGCAATCATTTAATTGTTGTGACACTTCAGAAGCTTTCTATTAATTATAAAATCAGTCTATCAATATAATGAAAGAAGGCTGATTTATATTTTACTTTTTATGAAAGATAAAACTTTGCATTACTTTCATGGAAACAACAAATTAATTCATGAAAATACCATACAATATATTTTAAAAAAGAGTTAATTAGATTCTTTAAAAATTAATCAACTTGTATGCATAATATAATTTAAGTTTATTTAAATATATTTTACAGTATTCAAATTGTTCCCTATTCCTATGTATTGTCATACAATTACAAATCGTATACTATAATTATTCAATAAAAATTTTTTTATTTTTATTTCTTTTGTATCGTTACAAAATATAAAGCGTAATACATCTTTGTATCTTTTCTAAACATTGAAAACAATTAATAATCAGTAAACCTTTATAATCAGTAAGATTTCAAAATGAAAATATGTGAACACTTTCTAATACTTATATGTTGTACGAAAAAATAAACAAAATTGAAAAAAATTATTTTTATATTAATTGAAAATTTTTAATTAATAGTCACTAAAGATACAAGGATACAAATCACAAGATTATAGATTAATTTATTTTAGAAGAATTTAATTTTCTGTATCACTGCCATGTAGTGTAATTTAATCAATTAAATTGCACTAATTAAGTTCATAACATACTTAAATTCATAAGTTTGGTTGATATTTGTATTATTATACTTAAAATTGCACAGCCTATATATGTGTGTGTGAAATACAAATATTTAAACGAGCAAGAAGTAACATGAATTGTAAGTAAATGAATTATATAGAAAGAATATCTATACAAAAAATAATAAATTGAATGTTTGTTAAAGTTATTCAAATACTTATATAAAAAGAAAGAAAGGGGAATTAGTAAATATATAAGAATTGTAAAATTTAATGTAAATTTTGGAGCCGTTCACCGTTTGTCAAAAAATTGCTCTTTTCTGTATATTTGACAAATTCTCTTGAACATCTAATTATACAAATATATATAGAAAAATTTCTTGTATATAAGAACAATATGTATATAATGTTTCACGACAACTATTAATGTACTCATAGAATGTGAAATAATAATCACAATATCTTGTATGTTTGTGCAAATTATACAAAATTATAATGATGTATATGATGATATAAATAATGTACATTACTTTATAACTATGGTGTTAGAGCTTGTTATATTGTTAAAGCTATGTAAATAATATATGAACTTATTGCACAGAGTAAACTTGATTGAGTTTATTGATGAAACATTTGATTTTCATTGCATGTTTAATGTAAAATTAACATTAACATTGGTATACTAAAAACAGAAGAAATTATAACAAAATGTACAAAATATATATTACTTTTTCATAATGATATATTCTCATTATCAATATCAAGAGATGAAAGTATATTTTTCTTTTACTATTAAAGTAAAAATTTAGTTATTTGCAACTGTGTATTTATTAGAATAGAGTACGTTCCAAAGTGTTGCAATTAACTTAAAATTGTTATTACAAATATTATTAAATTAAAATTGTTAATATATTAAAATTATATAAATTAGAATTATTTTATTAAAATGTTCATACTTTGAGAACTATTTTTTAAAGCCTTGAGAATTGAAATATCTTGCAACTTATGAATTTTATAAATATAATGAGTTTTCTATATTGAATTTAAAACCAAATATGTAACTTGTTCTGTATATAATTCAATTTTATCATAATATATATTATAATAAAGATTTAATATTATAATAAAGATTCTTATTAAATGGTAAACATTTTCAAAAAATCGCGAGTATTATAGGAAAGATATCTTCTACTTGTAATTATCAGACTTATTATCATTAACTTATTAAAATTACATGGCAATACATGCAATAAAAATATTAAAATAAGCTAATAGAAGTATTTATATTAGTTCTTGTATTAATGTATTGTTGTATTTTATGTATTCACATTAATTATTATTATTTCGCACTTATTAAATGATGCAATAAAGATAATATTTAAGTAATACATACGCAATAAATTATACAAAAATATTGTTAATATATGTAATTAAATAAAACAAGATGTATTGTGTTTCTGAATATATATTCCTACACATTTATACAATATGCAATTATCATTCAATTATAACAATTGTCATAACAATACAATTGTTATTCAGTTATCCATGTTTTCCATAAGGATTTTTCCTAATAATATAAAGAAAAAAAATATACATATATACATATTATATAATTATATAATTCTAATAAAACTTACAATTGAGATTTCATTGTTATATAAATCTTGATAATTTTTGAAAAGTCCTACAGTTTCATTTTCTAATTTCTTTATTGTGTTTTGAATTTTCTTCAGTTCTAAACAATCTTCATTATATTTAATTTGTACTTCCTCCAACTTTTCTTTACACGACTTTTTATTACTGTAATTAACAATTTATTTTGTATTCAAATATAAAAATTAATCCTTTATTTAAAATATCGTGAGATATACCTTGATAATTGAGCATTTAAATTACGTAGAGGAGAGAGACGTTCTTCACACTGTATTTGAATTTCGTTTATTTCATCTTCTTTATCATGATCCTTTTGAACTACTAATTTTCTTTCAAATTCCGCAACATCTGTTCTAAGAGTATCAACATGCTTCTTTGTAGTAACCTCTTGCACTTTTATTTTTCTGAAAATAAAATGAAAACGAATAGTGCGATGAATTGATCATTAAAAAAAATAACTTTAATCAGAACTAAACAAAAATTATTTAAATACTTTAATCGATCATGTATATCTCGAATTTCGGCGAATTTTTCCAATTGTTCTTGAATGAAAGTCAATACATTTTTCTGTTTCTCAATTAAACACTTTTTATCTTGGAATGCTTCTTGTATTGTTTCACGTTCTTCGATTTTAGCACTTTGTTGTTGTTCTAACTCATTTAAACGCTTTTGATATTCTTCAGGAGATTTTACAATCTCTGATTGTAATTCCGTTATTGCTTTACTCAACTATAAATTACAATTTTTATTCAATATGATAATAATACATTTCACTTTTGTACTCAAATGTTTATTCACCTTTAATGCTTGTGCTTTATAAGTGCCACAAAGTTCCACAGCTTTTTGCTTTTCTTCTTCTGCAGCTGACATCCTTGTTACTAATTCAATATGTTTTTTATTATTCTTCTCAAGTTTAGATTGTAGCTTTTGAATTTCAGCAATATACTAAAAAGAAAAAACAATAAATAAATTAAAATAATGTATGTAATTTATGATCAAATGAATTCATTAATAAATTTATCAATAACAATACCTTTTCCTTTGTTGATAATTGCATTTTTACATGCTGTGTGTTATTATTTATAGCTTCTACTGTTTCATTTTTCTTTTCCAAAATATCATGCAAGATTTTTGCTCGATTCTGAATTTCATTGACTTTCTCTTCAATGTCGGATTCTTTATTTGTTGCGTACAATATAAAATTTGCTAGGAATTTTGCTTGTTTGCGAACTTTCTTTGAGCCTGAATAATACAATCATTTTCTATCCAAGTTACGTATAAATATTATTTATGATAGTTTCAATTTCATAATAAAACATTACCTGGACTAGTGATATCTGTAATACAGAGATCTTTTATATATATTCGATCATATATTTGAGCCATAGCAACATATAAATTTATAAGTTTAATTATAGTAAAGTCTTCACAACATGACATTATGTCCTGCTGTTCCATTGTTGGCTACAATAAAATCAAATTTTGTATATTGTATTTCTTATAATATTTTCTTATACATTTATATTATTATTTATATTCGAATAATAAAATATTACATTAAATATAATATATTTTGCAATCATTACCTTATCAATTGAACTAACATCGATATGAAATCTTCTTAGAAATGTGTTAATTAGATTGACAATATATTCTTCTGTTGGATTTTTCAGATCATTTATAGTTGACGGAAGATTGGCTTCGGTCAAAATACTATGAATCTTTTCTATATCTAAATCCATATTTCGTATTTATAATAGAAAATTGCTCTGCCTACTTAACTGACGGTTTGATTTTAAAATACGTTCAAATTTATACGCATGCGCAGATATTCCTCATGGCGAATTCTTAATCGAATTAATCTCGAATTTGCGTTAATTTTCTAATAACGTTAACAAATTAAAATTCATAAAACTAATTAAAATATAGTCGTTTCAATCAGGTGAAATATATTTTTCATACTTCAAAAAATGCATTAATTCACTAAGAAATATTATATATATATATTTACATATAATAAATAAACAGAAGTAATAATGTGTTTAATTGATGAATAGATTAGTTTCGAAATATTATAATTATACATGAAAAACAGTATTAAGGAATATTTAAATCCTATTAGTAATTTTCATATCATTACAAATTTTTAGTGTTGTATGTCATACAATAATGTTGTATAATGTACGAGTTCATTGCATCGTCTAAATACAATTAACTAATTCGAATTATAAACTATTTATAAACAGTAAATTTGTTTTTTGTAAAAAGAGTGACATACATATATATTGGTAACACTGAATGAATCGTAAGCATACTAGAAGCTTTACATATGATACGTCACCAACGAATTTGTACATAACTCTTGGGTTACATATTTTTCTACTTCAATTATCCATTCTCAGGCGACAATTATTTTCATGCTTTACACTCTTTTAAACCGAGTGACTTAAGAAGCTTCCTCTTCAAATATGGGATCTTCTCATAGTATTGAAATACCAGGAGGTGGCACAGAAGGTTACCATGTATTAAGAGTAAGAACATTTGTCAGATTGATGTAATTTACTTCATATAATAAATCATAATCCAACTTTTAATGATTAATATCTAGATGTATATCATAAATTTATCATAATTAAAAAACAAGATCAAGTAATTTTATCGTATATTATGTCATAATAAGTAATATATCATAATATGTAATATAATTATTATATCATAATAAGTAATATAATTATGATAATATAATTTATCATAATTAAAAAACAAGATCAAGTAATTTTATCGTATATTATATCATAATAAGTAATATATCATAGATTCTAATTTAAAATATAAATTGAAAGTATTAAGTTATTTTTTAATAAATATATTTCTTGTCATCTCCTTGCTATTTTTTTTTTGTTAGATGTAGCAAATTCTTTTAAATGTCACAACCTTGTATAGGTCCAAGAAGGTTCTCCTGGTCAAAAAGCTGGATTGGAAGCATTTTTTGACTTTATTGTAGCTATTGGAAACACACGCTTGGTATGTATTTTTATTATATTTATTACGTATTATAATAACTTCTACTTCTAATTGATATTTTGTATCTATGAATTATATCAATTCTAAATGAAATTGGAATTAAAAGTAATGATTTATCTTTACAGGATCAAGATAATGATACGTTAAAGGAACTTCTTAAAAATGGTGTAGATAAAAAACTAACGCTTACGATATATAGCAGTAAAACACAATCTGTAAGGCAAACTGTCATAGTACCTAGTCTTACATGGGGTGGACAGGGTCTTCTTGGTGTTAGTGTAAGATTTTGTTCTTTTGAAGGTTCTAATGAAAATGTTTGGCATGTTCTTGTACGTACAACCATAATTGAATCATAAAAGATCGAGAAATATACAAAAGGAAAAGTTTGTTGAATTATGTTTTTGTAGGAAGTTCATCCATCTTCTCCTGCGGAATTAGCAGGTTTACGTCCATTCACAGATTATATTATTGGTGCTGACTCAGTTTTACATGAATCCGAGGATTTATTTACCTTAATAGAAGCACATGAATCACGACCTTTAAAATTATATGTATATAATACAGAAGATGATTCTTGCAGAGAAGTTACAATTACACCCAATCATACCTGGGGTGGGGAAGGAAGGTAAATGCAACGAATTCGTCAATCAATATTTAAAAGTATTGTAATTTATATCTTACAAATATTTTCTACACTTTTATAGTTTGGGTTGTGGAATTGGATATGGATATTTACATAGAATACCCATTAGAAACATCCAAGAGCATAAATCAAATAATTTATACATGGTATGTAGTGATCTGAAATATTACGTGAAATTTGTAAAAATATTTCATAATAAATTCTGCTTTTTCTTTTGTAGTCTAACGTTAAAGTCACTGTTTCAAATCCAGTCACATCAAACATTAGTCACATGGAAGGAAGTAATGTAGTTACAAACATACCACCAGGTTTTTCTATTCCACCAAATTACATTTCATCGCAAGAAAATGTTGCGACAAAATCTGAACTTGAAACTACGTCTACTACAATGTATACACCAGGTGCACAAACTTACACTATGTCTCAGTTAAATCCTGCTACTATTGGAGGATCTACAACTACTAATTCTGTGTCTCATGTGGTATCTAATCAATCTATTACAAGTACAACATGTAGTAAGTATTTATAAATTATTAAATTTATAAATATGTAGTAAGTATTTATAAATTATTAAATTTTCGAACAGATGTAACGACATTATTTTTATTCAGGTAATGATTCCATCATATCATCGATGTCGTATCAAAATACAATGCCAAATATACCTGGTATGCCAACTACTCCGCCTTTGCCAACTTTTACTACTAATACGACACTTCTGAATGAAACAGCTGGTATTGTCAATACACCGAAAGATTTCTCAACTGTACAAAGTGGCATATCATCATCAGTACAGTTTAATGTGCCTCAATCTCACGTAGTAACGACTCCCATATCGTTGCCTGGGATGCCGCCTATTACCGTTAGTGCAAGTCTACCACAAAATACGGCTTTCTATTCATCTGTTCTTCAGCAAAATGAACTAACTGATGTTAGCACCACATCCACAGTACCGCCAACAACATTACAGTAATGATTATGTTATTCCTGAACGAAAATATCTGTTTTATAATAAAGTACGTATATAATGAAGAATAAAGGTAAAATAAAGAGCGCAACGTATCTATTACGAATATATTGTATTACTGTATTTTACTGCGTTTATACTTTATTACTTGTTTAAACGCAATGTATACAAATTTTCAGACCTGCGAGTATAAATTATTGTACATAGACCAAGACTACGTAAATTAAATTCAAATTAAAGAATACCAAATTAAATTCAAAAGAATACTAAATTATTACATATTGACTGTTCTTTTTTATTTTTATTGCTCACTTATACATGTTACAATAAATATTATTTTTTTTAATCATTACAATTTAAAGAATACATTATGTAATTTATTATGTAAGACTACAAGTTCGATTTATCATTAAAAAGAACAAGACATTAACGCATTCAAAAATTTAAAATGTCTCGCTGTTTTTTTGCAAATTTGAAAGAAATTCATAAGGTAACAATCATTTTAGATAAAAATTATTTATTAAATATTGTACAGATCAACTTTGCATTAGACACTGTTGTATAAATATTCACAGAATGACAGATTTGTATTTTAATAACTAAAACTGCTAGTCTTACAATTTCTTCTTCAGTTGGTAGTTTTAAATGAACATTTAAATAATTATTTCGGTATAACCTAATTCTTCTTCAGTTGGCAGTTTTATCTTTGACGGATCGATTAAATTTGGATCAATTGGTGGTAAACCATGTTCTTCTTTATAACGAAGTTGTAAATATGCTTCTCGTTGAGCCCAATCTTTCAAAAATGGGTCTGCTGTATAACCGAGTATAAGGAAACTGAGCACGCAAGCTACAGATATAGAGAAAAAGAATGATAGATGCATAGCTTGACGATCTTTTTTTTCATCGTCGTAAAAGTATCCGTAACTGACCCATGTACTTTTCACTTCATACTTTTCAGTGTTTTTAGTTGCTGAATCACTTTTATTAATTTTAGTGTATATATTAATTTCTTTCAGTCTTAGAAACGTCAATCCTCTCTTAATTCCTTGAGGACGAATTAATTGTAGTAACCTTGACATTCTTTAATGTCAATACTTATTTTTTCTGATAAAATGTCGTTCTTTCTTTTTTCTTTCTCGTTAGCTATTTGCGAAGTATTTAATATATCGTAACAAGTTCAGAAACCAAAATTAGATACGTGTATACGTACGAGATGACGACCTTTACGGACTGCGACACCAAAGCTCGTACATAACCTCTGAAGAATATACATATAATAGGGCGCCTAGATTTAAAGTTTAATGCAATGTAATTAAGAACACGATGTTTGTTTCAAATATTTTTTTTCTTAGTCTTTCTGAATTTCGAAAGTAAAGAAATTAGGTCTTATAAATAAGTCAATAAAGTAATACTATTTGAAAAGGTGTAATACAAATTATACAGGACTATACAATGTATGTCTAAAATCCAAAGTAGTTTATTTTATATATATTTCAAATTTATAAATTAACAATATTAATTTTTTAGTCTTTGTGTCTTTATTTTTATTTCAGTTCAATAACATAAAATTCAATTTAATTTAAACTTAAAAAATTTTATCTAATCTAATGGAAATATTTATACATATAATATACACAATGTGTGTGTGTGTGTGTATATATATATATATCTGCATGCATATGTGTATACATATATATATTTTTTTTTTAATGAACAAAAATATGAATTGCAATTTATTTCAATTTATGTTACAGTTATTTATTTTGTACAACATTTTCATTATCATATGTGTCTTTATGGTCTTTATAAGCTATGGAGTGGTATATCTCCTGCCATAAAAGATTACTTAAATCTTTTGTATTTTCTTCTTTTAAATAAGAAAAATGATGAATATATTTTTTCTTATCTGATACATCTAACATTATTATTAAGGACATGCTTATATATATGTAACAGAAAATTTCTTAAAAACCACATATTTTATAAATAAAGGATACTTCCTGCAATATTTTCTTCAAGTTTTTCATAGTCCCAATGTATTTTAGTGAATTCTTTGTATAATGCAAATTTTCTTCTGTAATTACAATTATAAATTTTTAGTCATAAAAGAATATAATAAAAAGAAAACAGAAATTTAATAAAACATTACAATATATAAATATATAAATATACAAATATACAAACCTTCCTTGATCTAGTAATGTCTGATCCTTCAAGTTTCGTTTGCATGTCTTAAGTTTATTTCTTTGCAATTCTAATTGTTGATTCTCTTCTAAAAATTTATTCTTCTCCCCTTTTAATTCTGTCTTAAGAAATAATAAATTTTAATCTCTGCTATGTTTTATAACACGAAGGAACAATTATGTCATATATTTATATGTAAACAAGAATATAAAAATAATTACTATATGGTTTAAGTGTTTAGATAAAACATTATTTTTATACTCCAGTGTTTGTTTTTCAGATTGAAGAATCTCCCTAATAGAGTTAACCTTTGATGTTAAATCAGTGATTTTTATTTTATCTTCTGGAAAAGAAAACGTCATTATCTGTATACAGAAAATAAAATGTAATTTTATTACAATAATGTAATAAATTACCGCTAACATCTTGATTTTGTTTGTTCTTGATATGATTAATTAACTTCATCTGATTTTGTAATAAATCCTTAATTTCTGAATTCGAAATTTTAATATGTTTTTCCTTAAATGTCATTATATCATCAGTACTATTCATTGCATTAATACTATCGTTAGAAAATTTGATAAAAAACACAATTGTCAATACAAAACTCAAGCATCAGTTATTCTTATTTAGAAAATTTGAAATATCACTATACAGTGTTACCAATAACACTATTAAGCCAAGCTAGGGATTTTATTCAACACGCCGTAATAAAAGAAAATTATAGTACAAAAAATTAATAAAACCATAAAAATTCTAATATACAATCTTGTGTCTGTTAATGAAAAAAATTTTAATTTTTGACAAATAATAACTAATAACATAATTAAATAAAAATATTACTTTAATTGCATTAAAAAATTTTAGGATTAAAAATAAAATTTCCTTTGTTCAACTGGTTATTTATAACAATAAATGTTTTATTATAATAAAAATGTATTAAACATCGATAATTATGTTTAGAACTCAATAATAATGGCACTTAAATACAAAACATCATAAGATATGCACTCTTATGTACTACACATTATAATAAGAATTACATGTAAAATATAATCTAGAGATATTTATATAATAATACTACTTTTAGAAAAAGCAATTAATAACATTTGTTTTCTAAATGCATAAAGTATATTATGTTTTTTGGAACAAAATTTTAATGAAGTTTTGTTGAAGTTATGTTTGAATTACATTAAAAATTTCTTCTTAAATTATTCAAATATATTTTTTCGAAACGTTAAGTTTACTAATACGTTATAAATGAACAAAAATTATTTATGAACTATGATTTTGCAACCATTCCGTCACAAGATATTGAGCAATTTATAAATTTAATTTCACAGCAATGTTATATTATAACTAATATAATCATCATGCATATTAATTATAAAAGTAAAAAAATGTAAAAAATTCGAAGGTCTTGTATTTTGTAAGAAAATATCAAGAATCCGTCATTTAATACTTAGAAATATAAAATATCTTTAAGTGATATAAACTGACTAACATAATTGACAATCATAAACAATATTTATATCTTTGTTCTAACCTAAATTAATCTTTCGAGATCAACAATCACCGTTGAGTAGATTTACGTTCATAGATATTTTTTGAGAAATTAGAACATTTGATATTCGAACATGTTCTCTACCACTTTGAGTATTACTTGATTCTGATGTTGAACCATTACTGTTGTTATTGTTTTCTTCTTGCGTCGAATTAGACGAAGAAGGATTATTTGCTTGGATTAGAATTGTATTTAAATTATTATCCATTTGTTCGATTTCATATTCCGCTAAGCTTCCATTTCTAACTTCAAGAGCTAGTTGCCTAAAAGATATAATTATAGATATATTATAGTTACATGATAAAAAATAAATTTATTTGATGAATATGTACTTACTCTGGAGTCAGATTATTTGATTGATCATCAGTTGATAATTCAGGTGAATGTAGTTGTCCTATTGCATCTATATTGTCGTTATTTGAATCATATTCATAATTTGGATTTGTACAAACCCAGCATGGAGGTATATAACCGACAGCACGCACAAGATTGTTCTTGTCTCTTAAGATTTTATTATTATTAATTGGAGGTGACCCTTCTTTACAGGTGATGAAAGGTTCTGTAAAATAGATAATTTATGAAGAAATTATATTAAATATCGTATTAACATTTTCAATGTAACATACATAATTCTATATACATTATTACCGCGTTTTGAACAGTCCGCAGTTAATTCAGCGTTCAAGTAGGTAGGTATACTGTAATGAAATAATTGTGTTTTTCGTATAAAAAATTAACCGTTTTTTCACGGTTAGTAATACCAAATATGTAAGAAAGTATTAAAAATTGAGCAATTACAACATAGAAGCTACAGTCTACAGTGCTCGTGTATCTTTATTTACAGTTTACAACGTGTATTTAGCAAGTGTTTATTTAAAGTGTTTACTAAATGTTTACTAAAAATATAAAAAAAGAGATAAAGCAAATAAATTTTCAATAAACATCTCCCAATGCACCCATTCATTAGTAATGATCGTCGTGTTTTAACACCATTTAAAGTAAAATTTTTTTTAGTGCTGCACTAACTAATATAAATTTATATTTTATTAATAGTATTTGTAACAATTTATATTACTCACTGTTTTCCAATGGCGGAGCAGTCGGTTCCATCACGCAAAGTTCACCACGTTCATGCTGTACTACCATGTTTTTTCGTTGTTTTGATTTTCCTAGAAAATATTTTATACAATTATATTTCATTTTCTAAGTTCTATTATAGTAAACTTATTTATTGCATATCTGTTATGATAATATTTAGGATTCGTTACTTACGTCGTTTGAAAAGTAGTATACCGAAAAAAGCTAATGCGAAAATTACGAATATTCCAATTATTGGATAGATAATTACATCGGTATTCAATCCTATTATTTTTGTAAAAAAACAAAGAAAAATTAGTACACAAAATTATAATCTCAATCTCAATTTTTACTGAATTCCTTTTTTTACTTACTAGCAACATCTTGCTGTGTATCCGTTTTTCTACAAAGTGCCATTTCTCCTGTACCTAGTTCTTCTGCGATGTAGCTACAATCAATAAATGTGATCAAATAAAATATCATCTATAAATATTAAATGAAAAAATTAAAAAATAATCTATAAAAAAGATATAAATGAATAATAAAATATATTACCCAGGAAGACAGGGGCCGCATTGAGAAAGATGTCGTGATCTTCCTTTATGATTTTCTGCTCTATTGTATCTATTGCATTGCGTATAATCGACACATCGTTCCGATATAAGATAACAATATTGTGTATTAGAACAATCACTATCATCACGACAAAATCTTTCCTCTATCATAGCCTATAAAAAAAATGAATTTTAAAAATTAAATTAAATTTTAGCTATAACATAAGACACACCTAACAATAGATGCAAAATATAACTGTAATGCTTTTTTAAAAGTATGTTTCCAAAAAATTAATTATTTTTCTAACAAGAAATTTTCATAGTAGTAAAATTTTTTATATAAATTTTTTTCATAGTAGTAATTTCATGATAATTTAGAACAGATTAAATAATTATTTTTTTTACACACATATCATTGATTATCAAAATAGAATATTATATATATTTATGATCTTAAAACGCTAATATAGTTACATCCTTGCAGAACTTCTCAACATAGATTTATTATTTTATTACGATTAACCTAATTTAATTATTTTTAAGAATGTAAATGTAAGTATATGTAAACATAGCAAGAAAGAATTGCATTAAAAAAATCAATGATTTTTTGAACTTTTTCGAATCTTATTCCTATAAATTGGGTGTGGAACGCGCGGCACTTCCGGTTTAAGTTTCAAGGATATTTTACAAGTTATTTATTTAAAACCATCTTCAAAGAGCAATCTCTTCAAATTTGGACTTTTTTCATATAAAAACTACACAGTATAAAAAATACAAATTCAAAATTACAATTTAATTAATTTCTTAAGAAACAATGTTTGTTTCACTATGTATATTATATTTACTGTAATATATAACTTTATGAATGTATATTAATACATTATTGAGACAGTTTTAATTTTTAACATATCATGATGGTTGCTAAAAAAACATGTATATCATAAAATAAATAGCTAAATTTTTCAAAGCACATTATTATACTTATTTTCTACAATTTATTTTTAGAAATTTCATTCATTTCATAAATTTTTGTCAACAGGCCATAATTCTATGAAAAGAAATGAAATATAAACAATTATTAAAAAGAATCTTCATTTGAAAGAAGGAAGGATAAAGAATGATCTTGCAGTTTCGATCTCTTATGTAGTCGCCATTTTGTTAGCAAGTAGCCTACTGATAATTCACCATGCAACATAAAATGGTGGTTAATTAAAATTTACATATAACTTTATTATTAATCATTATGTTGACTATAACATGTGTATATGAATAATTATCGACAGATTTAAATATATACATTCTTATGTGAAACGCACAATCAGAAAAATCGTTTTTAATGAAGATAATATTTTATATTCCTTCTAAACACGATTTCTACATTATTGTACGAGTTACTTATTTTACTTCTCATTGTAGTGCTTACAAAAATACGCGCTGCATCTCATTGTTTCGAATCAAATAAAAAAGTAATAATCCTACATATATGAAATCACAGTATTTATATAATAATATAAGAAAAAGAAAAATCGTCTTCATTCTGATAAGATCTTTTTTCTAGATAAATTTCTGATAAAACTCACTATATTTTAGTATGGTAAATTGTATTATGTCGTAGACTACATATTTTGGGCATAACATGAAGATTTACAAAGATTTTAACATTAATAAATCTTAACGTTTCCTAATTTAATAACAACACATAAAGATTCTAAATTTATAAAATGAACAAAAATTGTTTAACAATAACACACTTTTCAACAAAATTTGTTGAGTAGAATTTTAGATATAATATATTAAATTAAAATTGTTGATGTTTAAATCGTGTTCAAATTCTCCGTAATTAAAGCAAAAAACCCCTTATTTATTAAATGATATCGTATGATTTTGAAAATTTTGCTATATGAAAAATTGCAATTTGCAATAACTAAAAGACAAAAGAGATTTGATTCATAATAATTGATACAGAATATAAGAAAATGTGTTATTATAATTACGTTTTTTATTTCTTTCTGATGTCTACAGATATTTCTACCGTGGGTACAGATATTCCCGGGCAAAAAAGAAAAAAAAAATGGTGGTTGAATGAGTCATCGCGGTGCGGTAGTACCGAGAATTGTGAAATATGTTCTGATTCTAAGATCACAGAATAAATTCGATAAAATATCATACATTATTAAAATTCTGCTACATTTTTGTCTTATTTCACTTTGACATCGGATTTTATTTCAGTATAAATAAATAAGCGCGAATGCTTGTTATCAGTAATAATTATCATGTCCTTGGCACAATGAAAACAAGCCGTTTACAAAGAAACATGATCGTCTGTGAAATCAGGTGTAATTTGCACATCTTAAAAAATATATTAATAAATAATCAAACTCTAAAAAAAAAAGATGATGAAATCACAATTTGGAATTGCGTTTTTTAAAAGAGACTTAAATTTCGATGGTAGTGTTAATAATACATATATAAATAGAACTTGGAGCTACACGATTTCATACTCCGTTATATACTCGTATCACTACCCTTGCTTGTCATGAAAGACCTCTGTAGTGTATATAACACGTTGTAAATGACATTTAATATATCTCAAA